TTTATGCTAAAAAAGTGCATATAGCTGCTAATTGTATTTGTTGTTTGTTGATTTTCAAATATAAAACTTATTGAAATGTTTTCAGTGTGTGTATCAGTTCTTTTTGAAAATGTTCATCTAATTTTAACAAAACCGTGATAATATTGATAATCGTGATAACGTTGGTCACTATAATCGTGATATGAAATTTTCATACCGTTACATCCCTATGCACTATATAATGTTAACAGATAGAAGTTTTGATTTTAAAAATATATTAGTAAATGCTGAAATTAACTAAATGAGATTAATAAGTAATATAATTTTAGAATGTTAATTTTGGGTTATGTTAAGTAATGTAGCTAACTAATGTAACCAATTAAACGTTAATGTAAAGTGTTACCAATATTTATTTAGAAGTGTTTCTTGTGATGGACATGCTCACTAGGCAATATTCTCTGTAAAACGACTGTGGAATAGTGGTCGACCGATATTGGCTTTTTTGACAGCTGATGCCGATATCTTGGAAAGCAGGGTGGCCGATGGCCGATATAAAGCCGATATAATTGTATTTATTTTAATTAATATTTAAGAAATTTGAAATAATTTGAAAATGGATTAAAAAATAAATTTGTAAAATAAACATACTTACGTGAGCACTGTGTGCTCAGGCGCTGCTGCTCTCAGCGCCGCCAAAATAAAAGTCCTGCCTCGAACGCATCGGCCAAACAGAAAAACTTATCGGCCAATGCCGATATTTTAAAAATGCCAAATATCGGCCGATATATCGGCCTTGGCAATATATCGGCCTTGGTGATATATCGGTCGACCACTACTGTGGAATGATAATTATTTCAAATATTGGTGTATGTACACATTTTAATTCAAAGGTTTCCGTTTTCTTTTAATGAACAGGTTTCTAATTTATTTGTCTTAACATTAACAGTGGGTAGGAAACGCAAGCTGTCAAAGTAATACAAAGTGAATGTTTTTAATAGAAACTGATGTGAATTTATTTTTACAATTAAGTCATTTTTTAAAATGTGTAAAATAACTATATCTCACACAGTCTAAAGAGGTGGTTTACATGAATATATACAACTGGTCCCTTTCAAAGTGATCATCATATTTGGGAGTCTGAGGAAATCAATTCAGTGTTTGCCATTATACTTTCAATGACATAAAGCACATTATCTAATTCTGATCCACTTAGTTTGGCTTCTTTGGATGAAAACAGAATCTATATAGTAAAAGTAAACATGAACTAAATGGATTGTTCACCTCACCTATAGGGTCATGCTTTCGCAAAACCAGTTTGTCCCTCAATCGGCCCCTCTTCGTGTTAAAACAATAACCTGTGCCCGCCGCACTCACCATCTGAACCAGCAATGTCCTGAAACACAAGAAGCCAGAGGTAAGTACAAAGCACTGACTTCAGTGTGTCTGTCCTAAAACAAGACATTAAACCAAGCAACAGAAACTATTTTTATCCAGACCTACCAAAATAAACTGCTATCAAAGTTCAACAACAAATCAAAGTTAACAATTGTATGTTCAACAACAAAACATATAGCAATATTTGACAATGAAATTATTCTGTATGCTCTCTGTTTGAAATGTAATAAATTAATCATATATAAGACAGCACATTGGCAGCAGTGCATACTGCATATTAGTACAGCATAGTTTCAATTTTACGTATGTAAACAAGTGCAATGAAGATATGGGAATACTCACTTAGATTTGCTCTTGGCAACTAGATTGAGAAATAATTAAAGAGAAAAAAAAAGTAATTAGCACTGACATCTAATAACAGTGTAACCTATGTACGTTTATATAAATAGATAATCACCAGTAACATCTACAACACATGTTTGTGGTATATAGTTAAGAATAGTTGAACTTCGACATTTTATGAATGTACAAATATTATGCATTTGTACATGAAACTACTGGTTAGCTATTAGCCGCTACTACTCAATGCATCTGTTCTGCAGTCTACACGTTTTGCCCACAGCTATGCTGACAATTAAGTTTTTAGTTTCTTATTGTAGATATTATTATTATAGGTGTACTTACGGTATACTGTAGTGAGAAACATTCTTATTCTTCTATAACAGTTCAGAAATAACCGCTCCGAAATGTGACATTGAGCTACTCTGACTTTAAGTTTCCGGATGACGCTCCAGTGCTTCCGGTGTCATGTGCGTCATCGGGACTTTGACGGAACTCGAGTAATTTCGCTTATGGGTTTAGCGTGGTTCTACATATGTTATATATGTCTTTACCATGTAGATATGGAAAGTGGATATGTGAACATAAAAAGCTTATGGAAGAAAGAAAGAATGAATGAATGAAGTCACATTTAAAATACTTAAAATAAATATTGATAAAAGTTTTTTTTTTTCTTTTTCTACTCTCAAGTTGTTCACTCAGATAGGGGGTGGCTAGGATATATTATAGGTGTACTTACGGTTTACTGTAGTGAGAAACATTCTTATTCTTCTATAACAGTTCAGAAATAACCACTCCGAAATGTCACATTGAGCTACTGACTTTAAGTTTCCGGATGACGCTCCAGTGCTTCCGGTGTCATGTGCGTCATCGGGACTTTGACGGAACTCGAGTAATTTCGCTTATGGGTTTAGCGTGGTTCTACATATGTTATATATGTCTTTACCATGTAGATATGGAAAGTGGATATGTGAACATAAAAAGCTTATGGAAGAAAGAAAGAATGAATGAATGAAGTCACATTTAAAATACTTAAAATAAATATTGATAAAAGTTTTTTTTTTTCTTTTTCTACTCTCAAGTTGTTCACTCAGATAGGGGGTGGCTAGGATATCACTATGAACCCCTTCTGCAAAAAAACAATGAATTAAGTGTCTATAGGCAAAATATTAAGGTCAGTCTATTAGGCTACTGATATAGAAAAGGTGAAAACGTAGTGGTTACAGACTTGTAAAGTCTGTAATTTACTTTAGATAATAGCTTTTTGTTTGTCTGTTTTTTAATAAGCGGTTCTCAACTGGTGGGCCATGACCCCAGGGCCTGCGGTTCTTATATGGAGAGAGAAAAAAAGTCCAGAAATCCAATTATTCAAATTTAATTAACTAGTTTGGATTGCAAAATAAATCAGCTTTTAAAATGAATTAAAATATATATATAACTTTTTTGTTCATGTCAAATTTTCAGTGCAGAATTGCAGAATATCATTAAGTAGATTATAGATATAGATTATAGGTAGATTATATAAATTTTGTACATTTTGGTTCACTTTTGTATGACAAATATTTTCCTGTTGTGCTAGGTCAAGCATATGAATATACCTGTAAATTATCTAGTAGGGAATGACATCATTGTCATATGTTCCATTTCCAGGGAGCACATACTGAAAAAAAAAAGTATGCCTTCAATGCACTGTAAAGGACGACAACTATATAACAATAACGGCACACAGGACACTGACAGCCGATCAGAATTCACCCGACCATAAAAAGCTCTAGCATTTAAAGCGGTAGACAACATAACTGCAGCGAACAGAACATAAACAGAACATTATCGTCCATCGGTGAGGATGCTAAAGGCCCCAGCTGTGTAACAGTGAAGTTCTTTTTCGTTCTTCACATAGGGGTAAAAGGAAATTCAAAATACCTGAGCAGCAGTATACTGTTAGAAAACTTCGAGACGCCTCTCGCTGCTGGGAGAGGTCTTTGGACTAATAGCCTATGTAGATACGTGAGTGAGTCTATAATTGCAGGTACATTTGGTGTCCGAAGTCATTATTTTTTTTCTGCTTTTTTCAAATGGTTATATTTTTAATTATTTGAATACTGTGTTACTCATTGTTATGAATTACAAGATGTTACAGTCCATAACAATATCATATGTTTTTGCAAAAAGTGTCTTAAATAGCTGAAAATCATGATTTCTTGTTGTCCGAATTAGTCAGTGCATTTTTTCCATCATGAGGGCCGTTTCTAGCCAATTTGACGTCCTAGGCGAAATCCCTATTGCCCCCTTTTGCTTGTCACATTCAAATTGGTTGTCATAGTAACGACACTAATTTGTGGAGATTCAGTGCATTGAGTTCCACAAATCTGAATGCATTATTTGTAAATTGACTGTTAAGATAAACATTTTGCACAATTTAGTATCTGTAATATCATTGTGTTGCCACTAGATGCCTGTATAGCCCTATGTAACAATCCCTAGTGGCTAAGACATTGCACATAATTTACACATAAATCACACATAAATTAATTTTATTACATTTTGATTTGGATACTATATACTATACTACTACATATTGTTTAGATATTATCAATGGCTACTTTTTTGTCTTTATCTGTTTTTTGTTCAATTTTTTTGTTGTTGTTTCTTGAAACATTGATTTAAAGTGTCAGTTATTGCATTATTATTTCAGTCAAACCTATAAAACCCCTTTGTTACCCCAAACTACATATAAAAGCTTTATCAGTGGCATAAAAGTAACCAATGCAGCTACTTAATCATTTGCTACTCGTTAACGCGTTAATGTCCCCTTTAAATAACGTGACGCTCTGCCCTCTATGACGCTGCTCCCATTAAGCGCTGTTGGAAGTGAATGAATTGATTCAGCATTTCGACACCTCCGTAAGGATGCATTTAACTCGACAAAGTGGTCTAATAAAGGATGTATTGATCTCGTGAATTAGCGAATTTTACTATACAAGTATTTTTTAATTGGATGTTAAAGTTTATATGGGAATATTACATGACAGGCTGATCCTTTAACAATGCATTGGCGCAAAAAACGCACACCTTTTGGACAAATGTGCCACAAATACTGCCTAAACAAAATACAGATTTTGTGCACTTTATTTGCTGTACCAATATTTTAAATTGGCCTTTGAATTTAGCTTTATTGCATGGCAAAAAAAAAGTGTTACCTTGCTAAAGCACTGACAGAGCCCACTGATCTAATGGCGTTGTTGAGCGCTCCAAATGCAAACTTTGCATGCAACAATCAGGCAGCAATTGACAGCACTCTGATCTAGTGGCATACAGGCATCGTCAGATTGACAGTACTCTAGCCCAATAATGTTGGGGGATCCAGTGGGGGCGGCAGTCATATTTCAGGGTGACCGTGCCACTCTTTATCACAACCCTGCTAAAAGTGCCAGTACGTGCGCTCATTGGCGCCCCTTCAGCTGGTGGCGCCCTAGGCGACCGCCTAGCTTGCCTATGCCTAGAAACGGCCCTGTTATCACGTGACCTACCAACGTCAGTTGCGTCGCTTCACTGCCATTCATAAATCCTGAAATGTCCATTGGACGCACATTTCAGAATCTTGCCAGTAATAGTATGTCATCTGGGTATTTTTTGCCTACTTTTTTATGAGTACTGTGAATTCAGACATATTTTTGTCACATTCTCTTTTTTGGCCTACTATATAGTAGGGAAGTATGCGATTTTGGATGCGGCCTATGGCATTTAAAATATAAAAATATAGCCTACAGTACTAAAAGAAGTAGTTTAGTACTAAAATAACTAAAACTAAAACTGAAAAATAAATAAATAAATAGATAAAACTATATAGTTGTTAAACTAATAAAAATGCCCCCCAAAAAACGGTCAAATATAAAAAGAGTACACTGTTAATTTACATATATACAGCACATTGTAATAATTCAAAGATGGTTGCAAATTGACAAAAATATTTTTTGAAGTCTGCCAAATGACTTATTTTATTTGAAAATAAATTTTAAAATTGTATTCTTTGAAGTAACTGTATTATTGGAGTCTGAGCTGTTCCAGGCCCTGGCGAGAGGAGGCCCACACATAAAAAAAGGGTTGAATATTAGTGACAGCCCAGTCAAAAAAACAAACAAAAAAAAAACCAGGAAAAAAAATTCAAATATATAAAAAAAGTGCACTGTTCATTTACGTACAGCACATTGTAACAATACAAAGATGGTTGCAAATTGGCAAAATTATCTTTTGAAGTCTGCCAAATGACTTATTTTATTTGAAAATAAAATTTTAAATTATGTTCTTCGGAGTAACTGTATTATTGGAGTCTGAGCTGTTCCAGGCCTTGGGGAGAGGAGGCCCACACATAAAAAAAAATGTTGAATTTTAATGGCAGCCCTGTTCTGTCCAAATTTGGAATGATAATTTGGAGCATTCGGTCTTGCATTTAAATGCTGTTGTCAGTCCCACAACACCACAGTGTGTACGTGACCTTAACTGTGTGCTCTACTTGCTGACCAGCAGCTCATATTCAAGTTTTACTAATGTGGGAGGCAGCTTCTATAGGAGTGATGACTAGTAGAGGGGAAACGATACTGCCAAAAGGCAGACAGGGTTCAGGAAATGAATTGTTGGATGGACCACACTGCTACCAGCTGGCAGGATGTGTGTGAAATTGCCTGCGTCATAGTTGATGATTCTGTGGAGAGAAGAAGCATTTCATTCAGCCTGCTAAATTAGCTCATGTCTTCCCAGATTTTATTAACGGATCCACCCTGCTTACTGTCACTGACACAAGCAGCATCTCATCACAACATGCTGCAATAGACACATGTGTAAGAGAGAAGGTGCCAAATTTGATCTGCCTACAGATTATTTTGAAATGCTGAATATTCCAAAATTACGAAATAGACATGTTGTTTTTCCTAAACATTTATCTCTTTTTCTGAACCTGAGAAGGTTCAAATTTAGTTTCATGTTAAATTTGCATCAATTTTGTGATTATAATATTGCTCAGTTTGGTCCTCTGAATAAAATTTGTTCTCTGAATAAAAGGCTTTTCCCACAGATATTAAATATAAAAAATATTTACAAATATTTAGTGTAAAGGTTCAATGAACTGTGCCTGTTTTCTATCAAATTATTGAGAAAATAATTGGTCAGAGAGTCTTGTAGACTGCAGGTGCTCACACGCAAATCACATTCTGTCCCTGCTTGTTTGACTGAGTGAGCTGTGATGTCATACGGATGTGCATCAGGTTGCCACGGCGATGGCAATTCAGAGAACCAGATGATGTCGTACCCTCTCAATGAGTCCTCCATATGTAACAGGTTTCTGAATTAGAACAAAAGCATTTCATGAAATCATTTTTAGAATACTACTGCAAAGAAACCTTTTATTTAACCTTTTATTGCAGAAAGCACTGCCTTCAGCTGACAGATGTCCATGATTGGTTAAGCCTGATAAATTACATTGTTATTTTAGATCCAAG